TTTTTCAGTGCCGGAGGCTGAGGAGGGCACAGGTGGCTCTTGCTTCCTTGGGTTTTTGTTCCATTTTCCCTCTCAGCAGAGCAGCCCAGGCGTTTTTCCCCCCGTTTTTGTTTCTCCTAAAGCTCCACTCAATAAAAACGTATCCTGGGGTGATGAAATCATGCAAGGTGCTTCTTCAAGAGGAGAATGTTTGTTTTTCTCTGCTGATTCCCCCAGGCTGCTCTGGGCATAAAAAAAACCATAAAAAGACCCCATGCTGTCCATAAAAAGACCCTCGAGCCTGGGTCAGCCCCAAATTCCTGCACTCACCCCACACCGGGGTTCTCTTACTGCGGGCGGGCAGTAAGATATCTAATTAATGATAATAATTATCTCTGCACCTCTGCCCCACTCCAGCCACGTGTAATAAATCTCAACCACCTCTGCAAACCTGAGTGCAGAAATAAAGCATTCTATGAKTCCAAAAGCTAAAACCGCCCTTTTCTCACAGTATTTAAAGTTTTTTATCACTCTAGTGTTGTTTTCAGGGAATTCAGGGGAAAAACGCGACCCGGGGCACGGTGTTAAGGTGGAAAAGCCGAGCATTTGCAAGGCAGACATGGCCAGAACTGRCTGCAGAGCCAGCTTCGTTCATCTCTTAATGTTTCCTGGTTTTGCAAGGTCCCTGCTGGCTGTGTTTTCTAATTTTTGACAGAATAGGGAATGCTCCCTTTTTGGGGCCATTTTCTCCTACTGCTGTTAACCCTGGTGGTTCTTTGCTCAGTTTTTACCCTTTTTCCCCAGTTTCCTTGGGTGACTGTCCAGCTCCGTCTGGTTTGGTGCCATGATGATGATGGTGGTGGTGGGATTTTCTAATCCCAGCCTTTCTGTGGTGTTGCAGGGAAGGAAAACGGAGCTTTCCACACTCTCTGCTTTCTCCCGGATTGAGGGAACAAAGTCCTGGACAGTGGATGGAAAATGGAATTGAAATGAGAATTGAAATTCATCAGCTGATGCATCAGCGCCGCCTCCTTTCCCTCGGGACAGGCGAACTCAGCCCCGTTTGCAGCAGAAKTCACTTCCTAAACGCTTCTGCGCTTCCAGCCCCAATCCTAACGAWTCCTGGATGCTGGAATTCGCTTCTCCTCCCAGCCCTCATCCCTTTTTTTCTGTTGTTAATGCACATCTTCACTCCAGGAACCGCATGAATTCCCCAGGAAAGCGTCGAACTGCGCTAAAAAYGGGAGGATAAGGGATTTTTTCCCCCACAGATACATTTATCACTAGGGCAACTTCACTGCAGGGTTCACTACAAACCCAAACCCAGGGCTCAGATCCAGGCAGGGAGAAGTTTTATGGACTGAGCTAAGCGTGAATTGCACTTCTGCTCACAGCTTTTTTTTTCTTTTCCCCTAATTCCTTTCTTTCTTCTCCTTGACTGTGACTCTGGCACCGAAGCAGTTACRATTTCAAAGTATTTCATAACGCAGCTTTTTATTTTTGTTTTCCTACTACTTGGAAGGTCAAGGAGGAACCTGAGCAGGTTTAAAAGGTGCGGTGCCCATGGAAAAGGGCGTTGGAGGCGGGAATAAATCGTTGTCCTTTTTGGGCAAGGTTCCCGTGTTTATCCAGGAGTGAGGGAGAAGGAGGGAGGGGAATTTTTTTTTTTTTTTTTTCCTCAGTCTGGCACTAAATGCAACCACTGGTTTCATTCCAGTGGATTAACAGGAGTTCAGCCCTGGCCCCGCTTTTCTGCTCAGCCACGTTCAGGTGAGACTGGAAAGGAAGGAGGGAGGAGGAAAGGAAAGGAAAGGAAAGGAAAGGAAAGGAAAGGAAAGGAAAGGAAAGGAAAGGAAAGGAAAGGAAAGGAAAGGAAAGGAAAGGAAAG